AAACCTCAATATTAGTATTCATGCTAGATAAAACTATCCATGCTATTGTATGTTACAAAATATTAGTTTCACCATTTATGCTACAATATTGTTTTCAGCTATAGATCTGTTGTTCGCACTGCACTTTTTAACATGAACACTGTTCATTATCTGGTGTAATTTTTGAATCTTAAACATTCTTTATATGCTATAGCAAAGCTTTTGGCCCTTTATCCACTATTTAGGATAAAGTAAAATTTTGAACCTAGAAACATTGTTCATATTATTTTCCCCTCTTCTTGCTGATGATGATTTTAATCTTTATCAGATATTTCACAAATATAAATCTTTTCTGTCTCTATTATAGAAAATTGATAAAACTTGCGAATTGGTATATTATTTTGTTAATTGTTTTGAAGATTCATTCCGTAAATAGTGTAAAAAGTTTATATCTAAAGTTTTTATAAATAGAATTATGCAAAAATCAAATTATTAATTTGGCGATAGATAGATCTCGGTAAATAATATCCGCAGCAACTCTCTAGCTTAATAATAGTGCAATTAGAATAAGAAAAACTATGTTACATTCATGTGATGTGTAATCTAGCATTCCCTTATTTGGTGCAATCATTGGTGGAGTTAATTTATGGAAGAATGATGGACGAAAATGGATTAAGTGTCTCAATCTGTATGTAGATTAATTGTAGACAGATGCCCAATAAATTTCGTCCACCTGATGTTTTAAAAGTAGGGATGGACCACATCAAGTGCCAGGTTAAGCCTTCTGTTGTAAGAAAACAATAATGTTGTAATTATTGGAGGGGCCCATGCATGATTGAGTCTGGGATTGGTTTTGGTGAAGAGTCTAGACTTAAGTCACGCCGTTTATTATTTTATTTATTAAGGAAAACTTATTTTCATCCTTATAAATAAATATTCAAATATGTAACTTTCGCTTCTAAAATAATAGTCGAGAGATGACAAGCACGTGTGAAGGTATATATACGAGGTGGGTTACGTGTACTTCATCATTTCTAAAAAAGATTAATGCATTATCATTCCAGCTCTCTTTTTCGTCTTTCATCCGACACGCTTCACCTAGCACGTGTTTTAGTGGAGGAGTTTTAGCTGTGATTAGGCTACGTTGGGCATTAGTGTATAACTATTTTTAATTTACATACTATTGTCCAAGTTAATTTATATCCCATTGTTCATCAATTGAGCCCATCTGTCCACAACAAGAAGCCCATTTATATGAAAATGCGGTTCCATCAATCAATTAAGCCCACCACCGCTGGAGTACAGTTTGCTTATCTGGGTTCAATAATTCAGCCCACTGATAAACCCAAGTCAACATACGCAGCTCATCAATTCGGCTCCGGCACCTCATGGTTATTTTCCAATAACACGAGTACTTATATGCGCTCGAAATTGGCTAAATTCCTTTTATCAAAAAAAAAAAAAGTGAGGCTAAATTACGAATTTGATATTTTTATTAGGCCCTCCTTATCAGGTTGGTATTTTTTAAAAAACTTCAACAATAATAAGGTGTTTAATTTGCAAATTTGAGTCCATAATATCCATTTTCTCGTTGGTGCTTGAAAAACCCGGGCTAGTTGGGCTCCGGGCCTAGGTCCAAGCCGAGGTGATGAAGCTCGACCCGGGCACGACCCGACCCAATGTTTAATTTTATCTATAATATATAGCTATATATTAATATGTAAGTATATACTAATACATTTTTATATAGATATATTAAGATTAATCTGGTTTTTTAATAAATTTTAAAAATTTTAAAAAATCCAAGCAGGCCCGGAGCCACGCGGGTTTGGGCCGGACGCTCAAGCTCAAAGATATTTGAAGTTAAAGTGAGAACTGATCATGGTTTCAACAGTTTGACACTAAATTGCATTCAAAAATCACATGAGGGCATGTTGAAGCTTTCCATTTATAATTTGAAAATGATGCTTAATTTTGAAAATGAGATTGAAGAGAGGCGAGTATGAATCTCAATACTAATTTGATCTCAGCCCAACTTTGGATAGAAGGAAGGGGAGAGGCACGCGACAACTGCATGTTTCCAACTACCTATGTCATGTTATTAAATCATAGTCAGTCATGTGATCAGTTTCAAAGTAGTTCAAATTAAAAATCACATGACCTTCGCGTGACAATTTGCGTGCAGTTTTTTCGCCCGGCAGCGAAGAAATAGAACTCGTTGTTTGGAAGTCGCGAATTAAATACCTTATTGTTGCTGGATTTATTAAAAATACCGACCCATCTTCATTTCCTTGTATGTTATCTTTTTGGGGTGTTTGTTTACTTGAAAGTGAAAAGTAAAAGTGTGAAAATGACTTACTTTCATCACTTCAGATGTTTATTTCATTAAGGGGGTGTTTGTTTGCATGCAAGTGAAAGATGAAAGGGAGAAAATTATTTTCATTTAACAATTAATGTGTTTATTTTCATGTAAGTGATTATGAAAGTGAGACGCAAGAAAGTTATCACATATGATTTAATGCAATTTTGACTTCCCCTTAAAAAGTGATGAAGTCACATGAAAGTGACAAAAATGTAACTAATTTAATTAAACGGTTTTAATTATACTTTCTAATTAATCTTATTTTGTCACTTCATCTTCACATTGCACTTTCGATAATAATTTAATTTTTTAAACAAATACTGTATTTCACTTGCATGCTGACATGGATGTAAAAGTCATTTGCAAAAAAGTAACTTACATATTTTAAATTTACTTTTAGATTGCCAAACACCCCCTAAAAGTTCATGTGAAATGGAAATGTAAAAAACATGCCAAGTAAGGTTTAATAACATTCAACTTCCTCTAAAAAAATTATAGATGTCGTATGAAAGTGAAAAAGTGGGGACTGCTTTTAACTAATTAAACAATAACATTTTATTAAAATTTCCTTTTATTTTTTACACTTCCATTAAGTGCCTATTTGTTTACATTAAAGTAGCTATGAAGTATGTTTAGTATAAATGAAATAGGCGTCATTTCTGTTACTTTCGAGAAGAAAAGTATGTTTGTTTCTTTGAAAACGCTACTTTCAACACTTCCTTAGAAGTTAACGTGACACCCTACATGACATCTCTACTTCTTGAATCTTTTCCTCCCCTCAAGGCTCTGAAATACCTCGGAAGTAAATGAAATTAAGTCAATTTAGGAGTAAATTTTTTTTTTATTATATGGATATCTTCATACTCTAAATAAAATCCCGAAAAATCATCTTTTTCTCTTCCTAGCAATATTTATTATTGCTACCAAACAAAAAAAAGTTAATGAAGTGAAAGAAACATTATTTCCTCTACTTTCAAAAGTTTACGAAACAAACAAAGAAAGAAGAACTTCTGCTACTTCCTAATTCATAATTTCAGAAATAATAGATTTGGTTTACTTCTTACTTCTAATACTTCCTATCAACCAAAATTTCTCTAACAATAATTTCGGTAAGCAATTTTTTAATTTTTCATGTTCGAAGACGTTCATAATATTTTGGATCATGAACTTATTTTTTTGGGAGTTTTATATATCAGACCCTTACATCTTCATTATTTTTAAATTAATCCCTCGAATTATTGATATTGATACCTTAATAATATGAGTTGTTCTGGAATTAGTCCTTGAATAGTTGAAATTGCTAAAAAGTTAGAAAATAATCATTCTAGTCAAGGGTATGTAAAACTCATTTTCAATTCATTTATTTATAGTTACAAAAGAAATGATCGAAAATATAATATGGTTTAAAATAAATAAAATAGTATTTCCACAACATTATTAATTTTTTATTTTTAGTAGTAAATTACTTTTATAAATAAACACTGTGTTTTACTTGTATGCTAACATGATGAATTCACTTTCTTAGCTGCAAAAAAACAGTGACTTTCGCCCCTTTATTTCGCTTTCAGTTTGCCAAACACCCACTCTATGCAATTGGGAGTCATGGCGGCCGCATTTCAAGAAAAACCGACCACCCATGTCCAACTTCGTCATGCTTTTCTGCATGCTTGCTCGCATGCTTCTCGGATCTTTGATCTCCATCATCAATTATTATGATTTGGACAATTGAAATTAGAACCCACGCGATAGATTTTTGTATAAGTGGGTAGACAATAGGTAGTGGAAATATACTTGATCCACCCACTTAACTAATTGGCGAATTCCTGCTAAAATTTTCACCGAGATTCTTTAATGCTTAATTAAGGGTGCATTGCAAACAGATCCATATAGCAAATTGCAAAGAGACTTTATGTAGCTATACTTGTTGCGAATAGACTTCCTGCCCAAGTGCTAATACACTCTCTTAATGAACTTTTATTGGGAGTCTATCCACACCAATAAAACTATAAGGGGTCTATCTCGCCCCATTAAACAATTTTAATGATTTTAAGAGTCCAAAAAGATTCACCCAGGAGTACTATTTGCAACAAGTAGAACTACAGAGGGTCTATTCGCAATAAATAAAATTACAAGAGTTTTTTTTTTGTAATTGGGTGATAACTAAGGGGGGTTATGCTCGAAATTAATTATCTAAATAATGTAAAAATATGTAGCATAACTGTCCATGGGGTAAACATTCTTTATATCTTTGATTGTAGAGAGCCTCTATGATTAGCTACATGAGTGTATATAGTACTTACTGATTCCCTAGACGTACCCAGTAATGAAAAGAGTTTTTTTATATAAATTGCATGTATAATGAACATTTTCCATAAAGTCTACTCAGAAAGAAGTTATGATTGGTGAATTGTAGAGTTTTTCCAAGACCAAGTAGGTACAAAATCACTGCCGCTGTTCGATGGACTCCCTTTACTTAAGTTCAGCAATTTTCACAAACAAACTCGAATAATTAATCTACAGAATGGCGGCAAACTCTCTCCTCTCCCTCTTCATTCTCACCCTCACCTTCACCATCACCATCACCTCCTCCTCTCTCCCTCCCTCTCCATCACCAACCTCTCCAAACTCCATCGACTTCCTCAT